TCCACCCCGCACAACATGATCTACTCGACCACCATTATGATTACCGCCAAAAAAACAAAACCGGAGGTAAAAAAAAATCAAAACGGTAATCTGGCCGCCGAGTTCACGAAGTGAATTGGCTTGTTTTACAAGGTCGCTGCCAAGCGACGAAACCCAATCCCGATGGCAAACACCGGGGGGGTGGGGGTGTACTCCGGGGGGGTGGCTTGTTTTACAACGTCGTTGTCAAGCGACGAAAACCCAACCCCGATGGTAAACACCGGGGGGGGGGGATGTGGGGGGGCTTCTTATTATATACAGCAATATGCCCTCCGTTGAACCCTAAGGGCATCTACGCTTCGCGAGGCAACCAATACGCTTTCGGAATCCGCTCCTTGACGTTTACATGCGAATTGTTTCCTCGGCCACTTGCACGCTTGAACCATTTTCTGGATTAAGAAGTAGCTCACAGCTGCCCAATCAACCTGGATTCCTGAACTCTTAAAAATTGAGGATAAGAGAGCCAAGTACTCTCCGTTGACTCCCTCGGGCAGCCTTTCCAGAGTGTGAGGGGTGAGGCTAAGCCCCTAAGCCCCCATAGAAGGGGGTGCAGGGGAAGAGAAAGGAAATTATGTATTGTTCCGACGTCAACAGTTTCCCCCCGAAGAGGACAACGAGGGGGTACCATCAACATTTCGATCTACCACATCTGGGCCCCTTGCAGAGCCCTGCCCACACCTGTCGAGAACACGACTTTAGTCACATTAACATTTACTTGACCAGATACTTTGATTGTACTGTTTTTCTCTTCCTACCTCAACCCGCAAACTAAGATAGTGTACGTTGGCGCTGCCTTTAGACCGTAGACCGCACTTACTTCCCAATCAAAAGGCTCCTCGCCTTTTAATGATTTAGTGGCAACGAGGCTGTAGCACTATTCAGGTATCCTCAAAGGCACCTCTCGATAGGGAAAGAGTGACGCTCATGCACGCACCCGATGTTTATTTGCAGGTGCAACGTGGATGTAGAGCTCCTGACATGAGCACAGACAGAAAAGGTAGATGCAACCCAAAGGAATGAAGAAGAAATCAAACTTCACTCTTCGACAGATAGCTGGAGAAAAGATAGCTAGAGAAATGAAAACAAGCCTTCAGAAGCGAGAAAAACGACCGCAAAGGAAGGACGATGCTGAACCGCTGTAGCTTTGCTAATCTATTCGATGACCCTCAGCGAAGAGCTGGTAGGGTCTTCAGCAGCAGCACGGGTCCCCTACTGGTGGTGTAATGCCGGTGCATGGCGTGTTTGTCTCTGTTTGTTGGCATCGAGCGCCCTAAATGGCTGATCAACGAATAGACGTCAGTCTCAGTGAGGTTCAAAACAGAAAGTATACATTTCTCAAGGCCCTCATCTGACCCCGTCAGACAGTGTATGTAGGCTAATTTATTCTGATTAAGAGGGACACGATAGCAACGGAGGAAATTGCACGTTCGCTTCGGAGTGTTTTCATCCTTATCTTTGTTTTTGCCTCTCATGAGGAGCAGCTCCATAAACTCCTCAACCCTATTATACTTTCTCTTCACCTCGCTGTACGTGTGTTCGATGGCTCGCCCCTCCCCCCCCCTACACGCACCAAGGAGAGACCGCGCATGGGAGATCAGCTGGGGCATAAGACTCCATTTATTAGCTAACAAAATTCAGGTTGACAGGG